GATGACTTGCTGTCCTGTTGGGTGATCCACCAGGAACTTGATTACATCCAAATTGCCGTGGCGGCACGCCTCAGCCAGAGTGTAGTGCCACTGGCCGACCCAGAAGTAGCCGCAATCCAGCTTCCACTCGATGATGTCGGGCTTGACACAGAACTTGGCGTAGTCTAAGACGCACCTGCCTCTGGGCAGCAGAGACTCGCAGAGAGCCACGTCGCCGGCATTCACAGCGGCAGTGATGGTATCGTCGCGTACTTCGTCCGTCATGGTGCCGAGCGGCGCGTGCTGGTGCAGCCAGTTGGCGGTGGTAAGCCAGTCGTTCTGCAGTGCATACAGCACGTCCCTTGGATCCCACCAGACCTTGGTGTTGGCGTTGGCGGCCAAGAAGTGCAGCACAGCCAGGTCACCCTTGAGCACCGCCAGCGCCACGACGTCCGAGGGCACAACCACGTCCTGGAAGTGGTCAACCAGCCACTGCAGTAGCTCCGTGTCGCTGCGTTCCACAGCCACGCGCGTGGCCTCAGCGAACTGCCAGCGGCTGTAGAACTCGTCGCTGCGCAGGAAGCGGGCGAGCGTCCAGCCGGCAGTGGGGGCGGAAGTCGGGCAGCTGCAGGCCCAGATCCAGTCCAGCAGCATCGTGGAGCGGAAGCATCAGGCGGCGCTGAGCGGCAGGTGGGGCGACGGCCCCATGTACTGCAGCAGTACATGGTCCAGGCCTTGTAGTCGTTGCCCACGAGGAGGTTGGTGCACTTGAGGTCGCCGTGCACCACCTTCTCCGCGTGCAGGTAGCCAAGCCCCAGCGCTGCGCGCGCCCCGCGTCTTCCTCCAGGAAGTCACTGAAGCTGCCGTGCGTGGCGTCGTCGCACACGAAGAATGCGGGCGAGCTCACGTGGCACGCGCCGTAGAGCTTGAGCACGAGCGGGTGGTCGAGTCGTCTCCAGACGTCCACCTCGGCGTCGTCTACCAGCAGGCACTTGACCACGATCTTGGTGCCGTTGCCGCCCGGTCCACGAGCCGCGGTGCACGGAGCCGTACGAGCCGCCGTCGAACGACGCGTCCGAGTCGAAGTCCACGTCGTCGCGCGGGATGAACCACTCGGGGACGTCCACGTCTGCTCCTGCTCCTGTAGCTGTTGACGACGCGCCCGTGGCTGCCAGGCGGTGGAGCGCGCGCAGCAGGTGCGCGGCCGCGCCGCCTAGTTCAGTTCAGTTGTGAAATGACTTATCCGACCTTACTTATTTATTGTATGTCCATTAACAGCCAATTACAGCTTTTGTATGAATTTAGACCAATCA